TATATATATATATAATTAAATAGTTTTTATTTTATAATGAAATAGTATTATTACAATGGTCATTTTTCTTATTTGAATATTTTTTATTTAGTAATTTTAATAATCATAAGAATTATTATTAGTCATTTTTATATATAGGCATAAAAGTTTGGGCCAAATTGTGCAGCCCTACAAACAAGAACAAAACCTTTTTTTTTGTTTTTGCTTAAAAAAAAAAATCACATTGCAAACTGCAATCGCAATTTTTAACCAGAAAGTCACAATTTGATTTCCCCCCCAAATTGTGCAGCCCTAGTGGTAAGTGCTGATAGATGGGATCAGATGAACATGAACTTTATTTTGAAATGAATCTGTGCTATTTTTCTGCGATTCCTTTAGTCTGTCTCACTGATCTGACTGAAACCCTGCAGGCAGATATTACTGAAGCCTTTTCCCACACAGTGGACTTGCAATTTTCAGAAATGTGTCTGTATCCATTCTAGTGATGTTTTTGATTAGCAGAAATAGAGTGTTGAAAAATACAATAAAAATGAATCAAAAGAAACAAGCACCAGCGGTGTTTCTCGACACAGTGTACAGCAGTCAAGAAATCTTTTGCATTGAATTTATTCATGTGTTTATGTGGCTTCTCAGAGAACTCAAACTTACTACAAGTAAATTTTCATGGGGGACAGTTGATGCATGTTATCAAAGTGAAATTTTATGCTAAATTTTCATAAACTCATGAAATATCAATCTGCTAGCTCAGTGTCATAGATATTAAAATGGCCTTGAGGTCTGTCAGGTCCCAAAAACGAGGGTTAACATATAAAAGACTTCTTCAAAGGTCTTATTTGAGATGATTTAAATGCAAAAATAACCAGCCTTTGTCCTCTTCACATGGGACTTGTCACCTGTCCTTTATTAAGCTTTTTATATTCAACAAGGACACTGGGTTAGAGAAAATATGGCTGATTTATTATAAGACTTACAGGTGCATCTCAATAAATTAGAATGTCGTGGAAAAGTTCATTTCAGTAATTCAACTCAAATTGTGAAACTCGTGTATTAAATAAATTCATTGCACACAGACTGAAGTAGTTTAAGTGTTTGGTTCTTTTAATTGTGATGATTTTGGCTCACATTTAACAAAAACCCACCAATTCACTATCTCAACAAATTAGAATATGGTGACATGCCAATCAGCTAATCAACTCAAAACACCTGCAAAGGGTTCCTGAGCCTTCAAAATGGTCTCTCAGTTTGGTTCACTAGGCTACACAATCACGGGGAAGACTGCTGATCTGACAGTTGTCCAGAAGACAATCATTGACACCCTTCACAAGGAGGGTAAGCCACAAACATGCATTGCCAAAGAAGCTGGCTGTTCACAGAGTGCTGTATCCAAGCATGTTAACAGAAAGTTGAGTGGAAGGAAAAAGTGTGGAAGAAAAAGATGCACAACCAACCGAGAGAACCGCAGCCTTATGAGGATTGTCAAGCAAAATCGATTCAAGAATTTGAGTGAACTTCACAAGAAATGGACTGAGGCTGGGGTCAAGGCAGCAAGAGCCACCACACACAGACGGGTCAAGGAATTTGGCTACAGTTGTCGTATTCCTCTTGTTAAGCCACTCCTGAACCACAGACAACGTCAGAGGCGT